GAATTTCTACATCTCCAGGGCCATTACCGCCTCCTGACTCTCTCACACTTATCTTATTATGCTATTATCCTGTACCCAGCACTGCTTGTTTTATTTTCTACTTTCTGCCACAATATTATGGGCCCTGAGTTGCAGCCTCTTAGATAGTGTCTGTCTGCTTGCTGTTTGTGTACGCCACTGGGGGGAGGGGAGTGTGGCGCATCCGTGTGTGCACATATTATCAGAGAGACAATGCAGAGCATTCCAGCAAGCAGGAAGCAGCCTAATAAGGATGCTCTGGGAAGAGGAGGAGGTAGTGCTCTCCAGCTAAAATAATGAAAACCCATAGATTAGAGTCACCATATACTATATCTATAATCCAGCTGAAAGGGAAAATTAGAATGACCTGGTTAATTATCTTTCTCTGCACTGTCCTTTAAAAAATTCACTTTGGGGTACTATGATCTAAAGTGACGGTCTACACAGAATTTTCAGCCTCTATAGCAGCTGCTTTTTCAGTGCTGGGTTCAAGTTACAACTACATTTTAAGTACCAGTTACATCATCTGGGTTATAATCTCAGCTCTGCAACCTATCTACGAAAATACTCAGTGTCTTTAAGTTTCCATTTCATCATCTGCGAAATGAGCATAATGCTGTTTAAAGTCTGGGGAAGATAAATGAAATATGTATAAACTTGTGGCATCATGCACATAATCAGAGTAATTGATGTTTATTTATTTCCCCTGCCTTCTTTAACACTCAAATTGGCCATCAATCCATCAGTCCACACCTAGCTTCATCATATAATTCCAGTGGCTTATCTTTCTAGCTAAACTGGTCTCCATGGGGCTGGATTCATCCTATCTTACTCAGCCCTGGACTTAGAGTAGGGTCCAATACATATTAGTGGAATTAAGATTAAGAATAATGAAATTCTAAACCTGCAGAACTATTGGTAAGTTCAAAGGAAGAGGATCACAATTTTTTAAATTAGATTTCCCCCCATATTTTCACAATGACTATTAACAGCACCCTCTTCAAAAAGTATCTACATCTCTATTTTAAGAGAGAGAGAGACAGGAAGGCCCTGCCTGTCCCAGACAGCAGTCCATGACCACCGCATCATAATTTCAATTTCACTGCTAATTCTAAAGAGATTACAAAAGGAAAATGTGATATGGGAGAAAGGAAAAGAAAGCTTCTCTGCCTCCCAAAACTAAATAGAAAAGACTTTTGAATTCTCTGACACTTTATTATCAGTGTTACTATAACATTCCAGCAATGACACAGAAGGCTGACAGTATCTCTTTCCTGGATCTCCAGGCAGATCATAATCATACATTATCTTTGTTTATTGTGCACCTACTACGTGTCCAGAGTTCAGCAGCCCAGAAACTAATTCAGATCAGCTTAGCCACACCGGGATAAAGTTTGGGCCATGCATGATAAAGCTTGAATTAAATGCTTATTTAGAAGGAAGGAAAAAGCAAGCCGCCTCAAAAGGAAGGAAAGGGGCACTGGCCCCCATTCTGGGAGGGACAACGTCTCGACCTCCCCTCAAAGGAAGTCTTATGTGTGGACCCAGGTGCTGCTGAGGGGGGCCTGGCGGGGCGGTGGAGGATAAAAGGCTTTCTGGAGGCCCTCTGACCCCAGCCATCCCACGGGAAATGAGAGAGGAGGCTGCTGGCTGGCAGACAAGCAGGTGTGCCCTTAAGCAGCCATGGAGATTAGCTGGGGCTTATCCAAACCTCTGCAGGAGGCAAATCTCTCCTGGCTCTCTCAGGAGACTTTAGCACTCCGCTGGCATCGAATAAGCCAGATGCAGAATGGACGTCGACTTGGCCTTTTGTGAACCCAGGGCCCCAGAGCAGGAATCTGGACACCATCACACTCGCCAAGGCCCCCAAAGAGAAGAGTTTTTGAAGACTACATTGGAAAAAAAAGGAAAAAAAGAAAAAGAAACAACCATCAGGCAGGATCAAGGATAGATGAAGCCTCACTTATGCGTGGATCTTGTTCCAATTCAACCCAAACTTTCTTCTTTCTCTGGAAAATATGGCTCCTTGCAAAATAAATGGTCTCTGCTCTTCAGCAAAGGTTAAAGCTGAAAGTTTCAAAGGTTGGGGGTGCCTTTCTCAGCAACCCAACAGGAAGCAAATTAGGAACTTGAGCAGCTGGAGGAGGGGAAGAGGTCCCCACTAGTACAGAACAACCTGTTTTATCCTTATCAAGGTCTAGTGACTGGGGGAAAACATTGACTTAGACCCAGGGGATATGCATTGGAATCCCAACTCTGCATGTTGGCTGTGTGACTCTGAACAAGTCACTTAATCTCTCTGAGCACCAATTTCCCCATCCTGAGTCTAAAAATGGCTCCTTTATAGAGTCACTTGAATATTAGGTAGGATAATTTACTTAAACACCTAGTATCATACCTGGTGCACAGAAGGTACTTGGTGAAGTTAGTTTCTTCTACTCTTCCCTTCTTTCAACAACCCAATCCTCTATATAAAACAGCAGATCAAAATCCTTACTATTTACACTTGTAGAAACCTATTCTCAGTGAGGGTGAGTCACTTCCCCAAACCTCACACAGATGGAAAGCACAGAGGTCAGAAGCCAGATATCCCTGCAGCACCTGCTAGGCCTTGCTATTGATTGATGCCATAAAGATGGCCCAATACCCAGTCTCAGAGAAGTACAATAATGGCCAGGGAAGAGAGGAGATCTCAGAATCAGCTACTGGTTTCCCAGGGGCCATCTCTTGCTGGGGTGTCCATCGGGGAGACTATAGCTGTAACTATCTCACAATCATTGCTAAAACTTACCCAAGAAAGATGTGGGATATATAGGGGTGGCAGAGAGTTGGTACTCATAGTCTTAAGTAACAGTGTAACAAAGAGTTCTCTTATCTTTTCAAATGGTTATGTAACAGACATACCCAAGTACAAGCCAACTGACTCTAGAATGGCTGAAATGTGGAGGTGTCCTTGACTCAGTAATAACTACAATAACAGCAATTGTGTTTTCTAATCATCCCTTTCCCTGCCAGCACCTGTGACACAAGCAGAAATAACTCCAGAAATAGGTTACAACCTTCATCCTACCCAACTCCCCCATCATTTCTGCAGTAGGAAGGTTCTCTGTGAGAGGCCAAGTTACAGTGAATCTTGTCTTTGTTTCTTCCCAGAGGTTGTTGAATTTCTGCTCCTATCACCAATACCTAAACTTTTATCATTTTAGAACTAGAAGGTATCGTACATGTTCTAGCTTCAGAAATGAAGAAAACGGGGCCTCCTTGGTGGCACAAAGGGTTAAGTGTCAGCACTATGAAGCATTCCGCAGCCACTGCAGCACAAGTTCAATCCCTGGCCAGGGAGGTGACAAGGCACAGCAGACCTCTCCAGTCTTGCCCGCTGCTCCCTTCAGCAGTGTATTTCAGTATATCTACCTGTTCTGTTTCCCACTCTGTCTCTGGTGAGAGAGAGTTCTTGTATGCATAAATAAAATAAATCTAAAGAAATAATTAAGTGGTTAATAAGCACATGAAAAGATGTTTGACATACTAATCATCAGGGAAAGGCAAATAATCAAAACCACAATGAGATACCCCCAACATGCATTGGAATAGCTACTAGCAGAAAATATGGCAAAGATGTGAGAAACGAGAATCCTTGTGCACCATTGAGGGGACATGTAAACACACAGCCAGTGTGAAAAGTATGCGATGGTACCTCAATTATTTCAAAATAGAATTATCAAGATTGCACAATCCTGGTTCGGGGTATAAACAAAAGAATTGGGAACGGGGTCTCAGAGCAATAGCTGTATACCCATGTTCATAGCAGCATTATTCACAATACCCAAAAGGTGGACATGATCCAAGTGTCCATCAACCGACAGATGGATAAACAAAATGTAGCACATACATACAATGAGACATTATTCTGCCATAAAAAGAAGGAAATTATGGCACATGCTACGAAAAGGATGAACCTTGAAGACATTATGCCAATTGATATAAACCAGTCACAAAACAACATTATTGTATGATTCCACTTATGTAAGCTACCTGGAATAGTCACATTCACAAAGACAGAAAGGGGAACAAAATTTGCCAGGAGAGGGGACAGGGAGGAGTGAGGCATTGCTGTTCAATGGGTACAGACTCTTCTGAGATGAAAAGTTTTCCATGGATGGACAGTGGTGATAGTAACACAATAATGCAGACAGAATGAATGACACTCAACTATACACTTAAAAATGATTAAGATGGTGTTTTTTTATGTTATGTGCATTTTAACAATTTCTTTTTAAATACAGACACTGTGATCATTATCATCAGTAACTTAAGTCTCCATGTTCCAGCCAACACTGTGGGATAGAACCACTCACAAAGAGGGCCTCCCCTGGTGGCGCAGCAGTTGAGCGCTGGGCTGCAAAGCTGCCCGCAGCCTCTGCAGGGCTGGTTCGATCCCCGGCCACCGGCGAGGGTCCCACATGGCACGCAGACCTCTCCTACCGCCCGCTGCTCCCCTCAGCAGTGTATTTCATCAGTCTGCCTGTTCTGTTCCCTGCTCTGGCTCTGGTGAATTCTCTCACCCTCCCGCGCTTCTGACTGTACCCAGTGCTTATATAACAAAAAGAAAAAGAAAAAAAAAAGAACTACTCACAAAGAAAACAAGATTCTGCATGAAAGTATGATTTACTGAGAGAAGAAAAGGAAAAGCCTTGTTGAAGAAAGCTGGTAATCGCAGAGTCCTATCAAGTCTTTCTGGCATAAGCCTCAGTAGAAGTTCATAAAACAAATAATGCAAAAATCGTTTTAAGTGCCATCTTTCTCTTTAGAGAACAGATATATCAGGGCAGACCAAAAAGTTTTAAATAATTAACTTTGCTTTTGTCTGTTCAGAGGTTCTGCTCCATGTGTTCAGAATGAGGCAATGCATACAAAAGTAACCTGAGTAATTATTTGAGACATTTTGAAAATAAAAATCGAAGCCTCTAATCGGGACTTACCAGGTAATTTCATCTGTAACAGACTCCAGATCTCGGCTCCCCTTCAGCAGGGTAATTTCCTGGAGGTCCATAGTCTTAGACAGATGAGAACAACTGGACATGCAGCAGCAGCATCTTCACTAGAGGGAATATAAGAGAAACAGACAGATGACCTGAGCTAGAGGTTAAAACAACTTCCCCAGGGCCCCAACATTCATATGCCTCGTCCAACTCATAGGTGTCCTCAAAAAAGGCATAGCTCTAGTCACTGCATTTTAAAATCTCCCTCTTCATGACTTTTGTGGGCTAAATGCTGTGCTATGCTTGCAGGGTACACTGAAATAGGATGCAACCCCTATATTCAATAACTTTACATCCAAGAGTGTGAGAACGCATTCAAGTATGAATTGCGACATCTTAATAAAAGGTATAATGTGGATTTGTCTGCACAAACTAAAGGAAGCACATACCCCTCCCCTCACCCTACTTCCAGATGAGAAGACTAAGGCCAGAGAAACACACAACTAATCAAGGGGTGTGACTTCACACATTCTGCTTGAGGAAGTGGCTCTCTCACACCCATGTCCCCTAATGCCCAGTGTCCTTCTCCCTAAGATGCCCAACCTCCAGATATGGTCAGAGCCAATGCTAAAGCTGAGAGCACAGGGTTCCATTCCTAGCCAAGCCTGTTAGCCCCCCAGAGAGGAGACACTCCCTGTCCCCTGATCACAGAGTCTGTAGCCTTCTATTCAGAAAAGCAAGCAACCAGCAAGTATGAATGGCAACTCCATCAGCACCACTGTCCAAACTGGCAGCACTGTCTTCACAGATTAAATATAACTCAGCATGATGATCCCATGGCTCTGATGGACTTCAATGCTTGAGATGCTGGGTCAGTCTGATTCCCAGCCTATTTCTGACACCCGAACAAATGAACTCAGTGCCCTGATGATACAAAATCGTGTGTGTGTGTGTGTGTGTGTGTCTTCATGCATGTTCCTGTGTGTTCAGCCTCCATGCAACAGCGTGATCATCAGTTCAGTATTTATCAGGCTTCTGCTGACCTATGAGAGAGAAGCATCACCAGTCCTTGGAGCATCAGCATTGGTGATTTTTGAAAGTCAGCTTCTCACTTTGATCCATGGAACATATCTAAACTTCAATGAAGAGCCCTCACTATCTTTTGTACTGGATCCATCCACCAGACTGAATGAAGCTTTAGAACCAGCAAGAACCAGATGGCCCTTCAAGATCATTTTTTGAATGTTTGGATCTGAGTCATTTGTATGCGGAAGTCTTCAGAAAATAGCAATCTGGGGAACAGGCTCCAGGCTGAGTCCAGCTTTCCAGACAGCCCATCTTTGCCTACAATCGAGAAGACAAGCACAATATTGTAGGGTTCCACCAAAATATGACAGCGTTTATCTATATGTGTAGCATCAAATACAGGAAGTAGCCCTCTCCGGCTGTCACTGCAGTGGGAGCTTATCACAGCTACCTCCCTTACCCAATTCTTTTTCCATTTTATTTGTTTCCATCACACCTATAATTTCTCTCGCACACAGGCATAATGCCAGCTTTGTGAGTCAGCCAGCAGAGGGTACTACAATACTGGTGCAACAATCCAATTCTCAGTGAATTCAGAGCTGAGAAAGATTTAGACAAATTAAAATGGACTCCAGTTTTATTATGTGCTGGGAGTTCCTAGACAGAGAAAGGAGGCCTGTGGGATGGAAAAGATGGAGCTGGAACTGCACTGGTGGACAGGACTGGACAATCTCAAGTAAAGGTAAGGTAGCAGTGGGTGTCCAATATCAGAAGCCCAAGGAGTAAGGCAAGCCTGGGGTCCCAAATGGGAAGTGACCAAAATTCTGGGGCTCAACTCAGCAATCTTCCTCCTCTATTTGCCCTAGAGAAAAGAAAACTTATATTCACACAAACAACTGTATATGATGTGTGTGTGTATGTGTGTGTGTGTATCAGCTCAATTCATAATTATCCCAAACTGGGGACAGTCCAAATGTTCTTCTACCAGTGAATGAATAAACCAAGTGTGGTATATCTATCTGTACAAGAGAAAACAACTCAGCAATTGAAAAAAAAGAACTGATTATTGATACATACAGCAGCATGCATGAACTCAATGGCACTATGTTGGATAAAGGAAGTTATTCTCAAGAAAACATCCCATTCACACAATGTCCTTTCTGTGATATTTTCAAGTTTATAGCACTGCCAGCATCTGCAGTGGGGGGGGGGCAGGTTTCAAAGAGGATATGACCACAAAGGAATAGCAAAAAAAAAAAAATAGGGGGAATAATAGAATTGTTCTGTACCTGGCTTTTAGTAATGATTACATGAATCTATATACATCTTAAAAGATATGTGACAGTATACCCCCAAGAGTTGATCCCATTGTATGTCAATTAAAAAAATAAAATTCTTAAAGAAAACATGCATGAAAAAAACCAAAGGCCTATAACCCAAGAAGCAGGATGCATTAAGCAGATAAAGAATAAGATCCATTCCTGGGCGTTAGCAAGAATGTACAAGTGAGTGAAGCATGGAAGACCAGAAAGAGTTGAGTAAGGAGGACAAGGCTGACAAGGACCAGATAAGAAGAGGTCAATTGAAGTGATGTTCCTCTAAGTACCAGCAGCTGAAGCTAAAGAGACCAGAGGAGCCAACTGGACCCAACTGGTGACTGAGTAAGGAGATCGCTGCTAAAAGTTCACGTAGCCCAGAGGTTCAGCTCACCCTGAGGAACCAACATTCATATTAGTATAGAGAAGCCTCGGGTTATTTCTTTACCTCATTTGCTGGTAAGAAATAACTCATTGGCTTTGAGCAGCAATTTAGTGAAGAAGGCAAGTGACAAAAGCTAATTTAATCTAATCTACTCTCTAATTTACAGATGAGGAATTTGGGAGAGCAATGTTACCTGATTGCCCCCCCCCCATATCACACAGGTGAAAATACCCTCAGGGGTCCTGACCCCCACCCTTGACCCTTTCCACTATGCCTTGTACCACTATTAATTTATTCTCTAGCCTGGGATGGTAATTCTTCTCATCTGTCCCAGGAAGTTGAAACTAAGTTTTCTATTTAAAAGAGAGCAAGACAAAAGCACTCCATAGCATCTTATCATGAGACATCAAAAGATTGGCCACCTACCTCAACCTTTTATTTGTTGTTGTTCTTTTCTCAGATAAATTGCCCACTAATTCCTGCCTCTGATTTCTGTTTGAGTCTTTTTTTTTTTTTTAAGATTTACTTATTTATTTATACAAGCACTGGGTACAGTCAGAAGCACGGGAGAGTGACAGAATTCACTAGAGCCAGAGCAGGGAGCAGAACAGGCAGACTGATGAAGTACTTAGGGGAGCAGCAGGCATGGCAGGAGAGGTCTGCCCACCATGTGGGACCCTCGCCGGCGGCCAAGGATCAAACTGGCAGTGCTGAGGCTGCGGGCAGCTTTGCAGCCCAGCGCTCAACTGCTGCACCACCGGGAAGGCTCTGTGTGAGTCTTTTCTTAGTCATGCTATTAAATCCAATGATCTTATTGGATGAGTGAAAAAACAGTTTTCACTTAACAAATTATCTCTTACATCCTATCCACAGTTCTCATCTCTATCTAGCTCTGGAGAGCTCAGAAGATGTATAACTGCCTCCCAAATTGCATATACCACTCTTTGCATATACTACCATATGTGAGAAAAGTTCTGGCTCAGAAGTTGAGATGTAGGTCTTGGTCTAGCTCTGCATGTGAAATTTTAGGTAAGTCACTTCCTTTCTTTGAGTCTTGCTTTCCTCCTCTGTAAAGTGAACTGGTTGGATTAGAAGATCTTTCAGGTACTTTCTAGTCCTATGTTGCATCCTGTGTTGTGCTTCAGGTGTAGATAGTGCATAAAAGCTGATGTACAAAAGAACTGATGTATGATAAGTTTCAGTTTGATGCAACAATTTTTATTGAGAGTATACTCTATTTTCACTGTATAAGCTAGTCAAGAGGAATTGAACAATGTCTAATAAATGAACTCTGCCTACAAGGACACTCAACCCAATGGATCTAAATTTAAAGGATTTAAATTTAAAGAGTCTAAAGGATCCACCATTAAGCACACTCTTCCACTTGGAACGAGCTGGGTTATTCATTTAATCTCTCTGAACCAATTTTTTCACCTATAAATTGTGAAAAATAATGAGATCTTTTAGGAATGAAGAATAAATGAGGTTATATTAGGTTTTATTAAGTAATTTATATTACTGTCCCACCCTCTTGAAACAGCATTTTTCTTTCTTGCCCTATATTTACATTTCACAGATCTCCATTTTTAATCTCATTTCTTAAAGGTGAATATTCTATTATTTCTAGGAGATGAAACTCAAGTTCAGCTTCTCCACATTAACTTATCTGCCTGCTCCAGCTAACAGAAACCTCCCTTACCTCTGCTCTTCTATTGCTTCATAAATGATTTGGGTATCTACGGTGTAAACTCTCTTAAACTCCAGCTTTTTATATTACTAACCGCCTATAGAGACCTTGAATTCTACATGTATAAAGTAGAATCCATAACCTTGTCCAAAGATCCTACTCCTTTTCATGGGCTTGTTTCAGTTAATAGTTTCCCACTTTCTTAAACTAGATACCCAAGTGTTTACCACATTTTCACTCCAACACATTCTTCTCCAATCCATCCTATTTGACTCCAACTCTCATGCATCCCTAAAATCCAATCATTCTCATCTTACTGTCTCAACCTTGCTTGAGCATCTCGACAAGATGAATGCAGTAACAGAAGGGAGGATGTATCAGTATCACCTAAAAAGCTTTTTCAAAATATCTTTATTTACCTGTCCATCACTCCATATCACATCAGAAACTTGGTTGAGGGAGAAGACAGAACAAGGATGAAAGGACCAGGCTTGTGTATTTTGCAGAAGCTTCCCAGGTTATCCTGATACATTGCCCATTCTTGCTGAGAACTATGTAAATTTAAAGAGTCGGGCCTCTCCTGGTGGTGCAGTGGTTGAGCACTGGGCTGCGAAGCTGCCCGCAGCCTCTGCAGCACCAGTTCTATCCCCGGCCCCTGGCGAGGGTCCCACATGGGGCGCAGACCTCTCATGCCGCACCCACTGCTCCCCTCAGCAGTATATTTCATCAGTCTGCCTGCTCTGTTCTCCTCTCTGGCTCTGGTGAATTCTCTCACCCTCCCGCGCTCTGACTGTACCCAGTGCCTGTATAAATAAATTAATAAATCTTTAAAAAAATAAATTTAAAGAGTTTAAAGGATCCACCATTAAGCACACTCTTCCACTTGGAACCAGCTGGGTTATTCATTTAAATCTCTCTGAACTAATTTTTTCACCTATAAATTGTGAAAAATAATGAGATCTTTTAGGAATGAAGAATAAATGAGGTTATATTAGCCTCCCCCCTCTTATTGCCATTCACTAATAATGACATCCATCTGCCTTCCAGAATCAACAGACTATGATTATTTAACCTGCCATTCACATTCTGACTCCAGGTCACTTTCCTGACCTGGTTTCCTCCTGTCCCTTCCATGTCCCATAGGTTCCAGTCAAACCAACTAGACATTGTTTCTCTGGTCAAACCGTACACTTTCACAACTCCACACCCTGATTCATACCATCTCGTCTTCTTAGAACCCCCTTCTAGTCTCATCTCACTATTCCTACCTGGGAAAATTCCACTAAACTTAGAATGCTCAGACCAATGCTACCTCCTCTGTGAAGTCTTCACCTCTTCTAGGCAGAAACAGTTTTCTCTTCTTTCTACTTTCACATCATTCTATCCACAGTGCTAAACCATTAGACAGTAGCTTGGTCTGATCACCTTTCTTGACTTCCAAAGGATAGGGGTCCCTCATTCAGTCTCCTAAAAAAAGTTATACATTTTCCACCCTGGGGGTGTGTGGTATGTTTCATACCTGTTTGTTTAATACATGACACCATGATCTCTCTAAGATAGACACTGTCTCATTTGCCTTTGAATTCCCAGCACCAAGTAAAGGTTCAGGATTATAATGAGCATTAAATTAATAATCCTTCAGTCAAGATTCAGATTAGATATCCTCTCCTCAGTAAGTCTTTACCAATCCTAAGAGGTCGCACTGGCTAGTTTGTCAACAAAGCACACAGCACAACACACATTCCTTTTATTGGAATTATGTTTATGAGTCTATATCCTTACCTAAGACTCTAAGGGAGAAGAATCATGCATTTCTCTCTTCCTCATCCTCTGTGCATTGCACAGTGCCTGACAAAGCACTCACCACTCACCAATGTACTGGGAAAATGAGACTGAATCTGCTATCATTTCTTTCCAGATGATAAGATCT